TGAGCCCTATGTTATTTTATGTATATAAGTTAAAGGGTGACTATATTTACAACAAAAACAAACAAAAAAAAAGAACCACATTCACTGCCATTGAGTTGATTCCAACTCATAGCGACCCCACTGGGTTTCTGAGGCAGCGAAAGTAGATTGCCCCATCTTCCTTCCATGGAGTGGCTGGTGGGTTTGAACCACCAACCTTCTGGTTAGCAGTCAAATGCCTTAGGCACTGAGTCACCAGAGCTCCTATTCACAACAAAATGGCTTCTTAAAAAAAGGATTCTCTGTAAGAATCCTCTATATTCCTTTCAACGGTGAACTCCTTTATTGAGTTAAAATTTTTTTTTAAAAAAAATCTACTTATATAAAACCATATATATCATGTAAAATAAATCACCTTTATAAATATGTATTTTTCATTATAGAATTTTCTTCTACTTTCAAAATACTAAACATAAGACTGCAGACACCACCTCTTTTACATTTTAGGATCTATTTTGTTTCAAATCTTTAAGTTTCTTTCAACAAATCTGAGCTTGGAAAAGTTATTCTTTCTTTTTAATCTTTGCCAGATGTTGTTTATACTACAAGAATTTTTTTTTTTAGTGCTCCATAATGCAATTATTGTTTAATTAGTGATAAATCTGTCAGTCCTGGGCATAAAAAAAATAAAAAACACAAGTATCAAATGTACTTTTGTTTAAATTTATATGCACTGTGTGAGAATCCTAGTGCAAAGAAGTAGGGGCACATAGGACAGGGATGCCCAGGTCTGGATCCTGAACAACTATCTCCCAATTAAAAGCCCTGCAGCCCCCTCCCTGCTCAGCCTGAGTGGCAATGGCCCCCAAGGTTGATGACTGCTCTGTTTTGTTTTGCTTTTTTCTCTCCCTTCGTCTCTGCCTGGTGGCAAAGTCCTACTTCCCCAACAGTAAAGACCAAACGTGGAATCTTGGCCTCTTTCTTTGCAAACAATGCTGGGGAATCTGGTGCCCCCCTGAGGCCGATGCTGGGAAGTGCAATTACTGTCCCGAGATGCAAATTCTTTACCTTTCAGTCAGTCACAAGCATAAGCCACCACCACACTTTCCTATTCAACTGATGCTCAATTAGTCCCTTCTTCAGATTTTGTTAAGTTGCATGAATCCCATTAAAAATTCAAGAAGAAAATGCTTAAGAAAAAGAAAACCCTAGAACAAACACAGAAAACCGGCAGCATTGTCTAGGATATGGAGGTAATTCTTCTGTATAATATTTTACTAAAGGCAAACAGTACTGGAATTTTGTGAAGAGGAAGATTCAGGATTTTTTTTGGTAGTGGCTCAGATTGTTATCTGGAGAAGGAGGAAAAGACTGCATCTTATTTCCTATTAAGGAGGTCAAGGGTGACATGGAGCTATCTAGCAACTTTGTATTCTTAAGTTTCTATTAGACAAAGAAATAATTTAATTATACTCTGAAGACATTGAGCTAGGAGAGCATGCAAGGAGTATTCTCTGATTTAAAATCTCATCAGACAAAAACAGCCCTGCCTCCCGGTACCCTTTCCCCTCTTGCTCCTCTTCTGCTCCCTGCTTTCCTATCAGCAAATCTGCCTGAGAGTGCAGGGAGCAGCTCTTCTGGACACAGCCTGCATGTCAGGCAGCATGTGGGGCTGGCCAAAGAAGGGGTGAATGCAGGGGCCTGGGACCATGGCACAGCCAAGCACAGTGCCACCCCACCACCCAGCCAGCACTTTTCATTCAAATGTGGAGTTCATACAATAGCTTTCTGGGCTCCACAGTGGAATTGTTACTGGAAAATCCTTCTGATTCAGGCCCAGCCTTGGCACACTGAACAATGCTGAGAAAGCTGCATAAGTAGCAAATGTTTTCACTGTTCCTGACATTGATTTGAAGGTCAGATCTGGAATCACAGATCACAATCTTTCAGCATCTGGCTGTCAAGGGAAACACAAGATGATCTGCTTTTGAAAAGTTTCAGTCTGCACAATCAATGACAAAAGGGAATTAATACCGTGACCACATACTATAGGTGGCCATGTACCCAGGGGTAGTAAAATCCACAGAATCCAAAGGGTGAACTTCCAAAGTCAACTGGTGTTTGAAAACTTTTTTTTTTTTTAATTTTACAAATCAGATACATATAGACACATTTAGAATTTGGTGCTATTACATTAACTCCTTATTATTCAGAGTCTTAATGGAAAATACAAGGCCTCTGAGTCCCTGAGAGGCCAAAGACATTTGGGGAGGTCATTTCGTTTTGTGCAACCTGTACCACACTTTTATCTTTTGTTTTTGTTACGTCTCAGTAACTATAGAATTTCCAGTACTAATTCTGGATAGTCCCAAGGGATGGAAACATAATTAACAGAGCTCCATATAAAGTACAAGTTACTTAGACCATCACACTATAATTACTCTCAGAATCTAAATATAATATAATAGGTCTCAAGTTTCTCCTGTAGGAAAGCACAGCCGTCTCGTGCTATCTGAGTCCTAGCAATCTCCATGATATCCCTGAATAGTCCTGTCACTGCACTGAGATACTGTGCTGCGATAAATGCATCAGATTATGCAATTAGGAAGCAGTTCTTCAGGTTACCTGTCTAATCATGAAGTCATGTCACAGGCTCAGCCCAGCCTGCCTGACTCTCTGGCACTGCACAGCCTGTGATGGCTGTGAGCTCAGCCCACGCCAATCAGGGGCTCAGGCTCACCATCTGTACTGTAATTACCTTCCTGAACCATAAGGCATAGAGAGGTCACATCCTGAAAATGCCACAATAAATTAAACCAAGTAACACCCTCTAGGATAACCATTTAACCATAATGGAAGTTCTGAATCTCCACACACATGATCCTGATAAATGCTTTTGTAAATCAACTGGCTGAGAAGCTGTTTGACTAGGGGAGATTATCTTCAACTATGAACTGGAGACTGAAGACTATACAGTGTGATGTTTAATGGGAGCGTCTGCTTTCTCTCTCGTTCATGCCCAGCGACATCCGCTGCTTACTAAAGTGCTACTCGAGCCTGAGGTCCACAGGTGGGAAGGACATGGAAGGGGCTGAGAGAAAAGCCCAAGGATCTCTGAAAGGCTGCAGAATCAAAGCAGCTTAGAAGAGCAAGTGGAGCTTTGATTTTTTCCATATAGAGAAGATGTAAAGAAAATTAAATAAGGGCCTTAAAAGCAAAGAAATAGCCAATTCTTATATATCACCACTGAAAAAGCACCACAGAAAATTAACTTATAGCCTGTATGTTTAAATTAGAAATAAAGAGACAATAAATATAATCCTTGGAATCGGTTGCCAGGGGCCAGAAAAGCCTTTGTTCATTTATTTTACATTTTATTGTAATTATTTAAAATTAAGATGCATTCTTATTTCTTGCCCTAATATGCATCTCTTTGGAATGGTAAGGTCAAGGAGTAATTATCTTCTTGGGCTCTCTCTGTCTTAGCATACATACGTATTCTTCTTTTTTTTTCCTTTCTTCATATTCTATCAAATATTGTAAACTTGCAAATCAGTTGGGTTCAGTGTGTGCGACCTAACTTCCTGGTTAGGACCCTGGACCCAGGTTCACCTGGGTGGCCACAGGCCAGGAAGGCAGAGAGGAGCCCTGGAAACAAAGAGAAGACCAGCAGTGCCATAAACAGTCCATTGAGCAGGTGAAGAAGGAAGGGGGCCCAAAGAGAGAAACAGAACACAGGAAGAAGGCAACTGATTCAATTATGAGTCCCTTACACTGTTTTCCATTTGAAAGGGAAAGAAAGAAAATAGCACATTCCAAATGAATTAAACAAACAGAAGGTGTCTGGAAGGTGGGATCATGCAAACTCAGGCAAGTTAGCCCGGCCAGCAAGCGGCATTCTATGCACAGAGCTCCACCCTCCCCGCCTCAGCACCAGAGGGAGGTGGCCACTCTCCTTCCTAGGCTCCTCACCACCAATGTAAGCTCTGACTCATCACCATCTCTCTCTGAGCAAGTGTCCTCCATCTGCACAAGAGGAAATATCTTTCTGCCCATACTTCCCACAGGTTACAAAGGCCAATGAGAAGACACCAAAAGCCCCTGCAGTGCTCATAAGACAGACACTCGGTGAGCAGGACTCACCAGAGTTTTCTGAATGGTGTTTTTCAGGTTGCCCTGGTCTTTACTCCTGTCCTTATACCAATGCACACAAATGCCACAGAGCTGCCTCCCACAGACGGGAAATAGCCTGACTGGCCAGGTGGTGAGGATGGCCTAAGAGGCCCCAGACTGCCTGACACCTGACTAACAGTGGGGATACCTGTGGCCCAAGGAGTCCCCTATGTCACAGTCCTAAATACGAAGGGAGACAGGTGAGCTGTTTGGACATAGGGCGGTTTCAAGGCTGACAGCCTCCAACGAAAGAAAACATGCAGAATTTGGAGTTCTTCTCGTTATTGTAACTGTTTTTCTTTGAGTATTTAATTTTCCTCTAGTGAAGAGCTACAAGGTTATTTCTTAAATGGTTTTCTTTCTTAGCTGATTCTTCCCCTTGTTCATAAGATTGTCAGTTTTCAAAGATCCCCTTTTCATGTTGAAATAAAAAGCTTACGTTGTTTAAGGGTCAATTCTTGTGAACATGCAGTACAAGGCGCAAGAGAATCAAGTAAACCTCAAATCGATATTCTCTACATGCTCCGAGGATGCACATGCATGAAAGTCCCCATATTAGGTACCTTGTGGAGTAGTACCTAAGGCATCTGACTGCTGACCAGAAGGCTGGAAGTTCAAACCCACCAGCCACTCCTTGGAAAGCAGATTGGGCAATCTACTTCCATAGCGATACCACCTCAGAACCCAAGGAGGGGTCACCAAGAGTGGGAATCGACTTGAAGGCAGTGATTTTTTTGTTTAAATTGTTTTTTTGTTTAATGTTTTCCCCTTTTCTTTCTTTGACTAAAACAGATGGTACCCAACGTTCTCTTTAAGGATCTCTCTCCTCAGCAGAGTGCAGCACATACCAGCAATGAATCTTTTATACAGTGTTCGATTCTCTGCAGATGATTTCTTTCACTGGACAGCAGCTTTTCAAAAAGACGCAGCATTGCTTTTTCAAGGCTGGGAAGATGGCGAAGCCACAGGCAGATGACAGCCAATGTTGGGAGAGAAATCTTCTTCCTTTCAGTAAGAAATAAACAAAATTTTAATAGAAATGGATTACTAAGAAAAGATTAAGACAGTTCAAAATGCAATTATGAATCCAATGTGTGAAACTTCTTTTCCTTTGGGTCAGAGCAGTAATTAAGTTACAGTGTCCATGAACATGTACCAAGTGTCCATTTGCAAAATCATGTGAAAATGCTTCCACACCAATTCACCTTAAGAAATTAGAGAAACGTTCAGAGAAAAGGAAAAGAAAAATGCTTTCAAGAAGGATAAGGAAATATATTATGATGGTAGAAAAAGTGTTACAAGAAATGAGATGAAGAAGGCCTTGCTTTATCCAGGTAACTGCAGCCCTAACTTAAGGAATGCTTCTGTTTGAAAGTGAATCATGATAGTTTAAAGTGAGGAATCAGACCTGGGTTTAAGTTCCAGCACCACCACCTGCAAACTGCATGGCATGAGAAAGTTACTTGACATCTAAATCTGTTTTCTCATCTGTAAAATGGGCATATCTCCCTCATGGGATTCCTATATGGACTGAACATAATAACACATTCAGTGATTATTAGCATAGTGCTTGGTACATAGTAAACGTTCAGTAACTGTATTTGTAAATCTATTGTTTGAATTTAAAAAATATATTTCTTTAGTAACAATTTCATAGATGGTGGTTGATTCATAGCAGACCTTAAGTATAATACTCCACAGACACTAACCATTTGTGCAGCTACTTTTCTAGAGGCAAATGCATTTGGAGGTTCTACTTGTCAATGAATTTGGGGTTCCCCTCCTGGGAGGGAGCAGGAGGGCAACATCTGTGGAACTCAGAGCCGCTGGTGGTAGCTCAGGGATGGCAGCAGGTCTGTCCCTCAGGGACCTCTCTCTGTGAACAGCTGGCTTATTTGCCTGTTGGGACTTGTCTTTCTCTTCGGTCCTGTTTTTCCAGGTCCTCTTGCCCTTCTCACCTGTGGCATCACAGACAGTGGGGCCTTTCAAGGCCTGCCAATGATGTTTATCACTATAAAAAAGAGAAACTAAAGCTGGGACACAAAGGTTTTCCATTTCCAGCAAATCCCTCAAACCTGTCCCATCACTAGAACTTCTCTCTCAAAGTAGGAATCATTTCTGCACAGTGGCTGTGGGACTCAAGCCTGAGCCATTTCACTGTAGGAGCTGGCAAAAGGCCCAGGGAACAGGTTCAGACGCAGGAAAGAAATAGGGTGGGGGCCGTGGGGAACAATTTCCAGTGGTTTCTCTTTTTCTTCTGCCTTAGCATAACTCCTGCAGACCTTGTCTTGGATTAACTCTGGGGGCTGGGGTGGAAAGGCAAGAGCAGAGAAGAAGCCAAGGCGTGTGGAGGGATGGTCACAAGAGCCGGCAAAAGGGGCAGAAGAAAAGGAGGGAGGCAATGGACTTCCTCTGAAGCCATTTCTGATCTCACAGTTCCAGCCTGATCTTCAACCCTTCTGGGAAGAGTTTGGTGTGGGAAGTCTTGCAAGTCCTCCCCTAGTCTCTCCACGCCAGGCAAAAAAGAACTGCCATGGTGCCCACACCCCCTCACCACCTGGAACACTTTGGGGGCCACACTATAGAGGTCCTCTCTTGTGGCATTAGTGCTTTAGGTTGCAATTCCCATGTCTTTCTCCCCTATTATACTTGCTAGCAAGGTCATTCATTCATTCCATCATTGGAAACATGATTACTGAGCACTTCCTAAATAATAATCACAGTGCCAAGGGCAGGCTAAAGAGATGTGAACAAAACAGACCTGGTCTGCACCCTTAGCAGCTCAGAGTGCAGTAAGTGATACCTGAAACAAACAAACAAAATTGTGATTAAGACTGAAGGAAAAGAACAGGTTGAGATAAAAGGGAGGGATCTAATTTAGATCAGGCAGTAGAGACAGCCTATCCAAGTTGAGCTGGGCATTAGGTGGTGAAAAGTAGAGGAAAGAATATTCTAGCAGAGGGAGCAGCAGCCATGAAGGCCCTGAAACAGGGAAGAGCAAAGGCAGAAGTGGAGAGGAGGCCAGTGTGGCCCAGAGGGAGTGGGGGAGGTGGCCTGTGATGAGGCCATGAGGCATCATGGCCCAAGTAAGATTCAGGAGTTTATTGTGCTTATTCCAGCAGGATTTTAAACAGGAGTGCAAAGATCTGATTACATGTCAAAAGGTAATGCTGACTACTGTGTAGAGAATGCGATAAAGGGATGGGGGTAGGTACAGGCAGGCCAAAAGTCCAGAAAGTGATGGTGCTGACCTGGACGAGGGGGAGCCGTGGAGAAGAAGCAAAGAGGACTTGAAACATACATCAGCAGGAATATTAACAGAAGGTGGCAATTAATTTGATGAGAGGAGAAGGAAAGGTGGGAATCAAGGCTATTCCAGGTTTCTTGAGCAATGAGGTAGATGGACATATCATTTACTGAGGTGGAAAGAAAGGAAGATGAGCAGGTTTGTGAAGAGTTTACCAGATACTCAGTTTGGGGTGTGTGAATTTACAATGTCTGAACCACAACCAAATAGAGATATCAAGTAGGTCCTTGAATATCCAAGTTGGAAATTCTTGTGAGACGTTTGGGTTGGAGATCTACATTTGGGAGCTGTCAGTGGCACATAAAGTCATAAGAATGAACTCTGAGGGAGAAAGCTCTGAGTGAGGAGAGAAAAAGGCTTAGGTTTGTGTCCTGAGGAATGCCCACTCTTAGGCCTCAAGAAGAGGAGGAGGAGTTGCAGATGGAGATGGAGGAGGAGCTGCCAGATAAGCAGGGGACAGCATTGCCAGAGGAAGAGAAGCCACATGCCTAAGACAGGCCCAGTGGTGACCAACTCCGACAATGAGTGTTGTTGTTGTTGTTAAGTGCCGTCGAGTCGTTTCCGACTCAGAGCGACCCCATGCACAGCAGAATGAAACACTGCCCGATCCTGCGCCAGCCCCACAATCCCTGCTATACTTGAGCCCATCATCGCAGCCACCGTATCAATCCATCTCATTGAAGGCCTCCCCCT